AGAGGTTGTTGAGCCCCAGTCACGTGGGTACGTATCTGCGCTGCCCTGTTGCTTGACTCCCCCGGTGGAGTAAACTCGCCAATCGACGTATCAACTGATGCTCCCTCACATTTTCTTCTTTTCGCCCTTTCTCCCTCTCTCTACCCCTCTCTCTATCTCCCTCCCGCCCACTGCATCCCTCCCTTTCTGCACTCCCTACGCTCTCTGTACACCCCCCTCCCTTTCTCGGTGTCTCTCCCTGTACCACGGTGTGTCGGTAAGTGCTCCTCTCCTTGAACCGACCCGTCGTCCATGCCCTCTCCTCCCGCTGCTCGTCAACGAAACTAGTGTTAGGATTGCCGGACAAGTGTTCTGGTTTTGGAGCGGAAGTTTCGCGAGTGCTCTTGCTCCGATGATCGGATGGGGTAATCAGACAGGTTACGAGTCACGTGAGTATGTCTCTGCGCTGGCCAGTTGCTTGACTCCTCTAGAGGAGTGAATTCGCCAATCAACGAATCAACCGTTGCATCCTCATATTCACCTTCTCTCGCTCTCTCCCCCTCTCGCTATCCCTCTCTCTCGCTCCCTCCCTCCCACTGCTTTCCCCCCAACTGCACTCCTCTCTCTCCTGGCGTCTCATTCTCTACCCCGAAGTGTCGGTAGGTGTTCCTCTCCTTGAACCGACATCCTGTCGTCCATGCCCTCTTCTCCCACTGCTCTCCAACGGAACTAGTACTAGTATTGTTGGATAAGGGATTTGGTATTGGAGCGGAAGTTCTGTGTGTTCTTGCTCAGAAGATCGGACGGGGAAATCAGTCTAGACTCCAGCCGGGACATACCATCTTCCTGAACGCACATTTCAAAGTACAATGGTAAACTCAGGATCTAGTTGAATTTCCCTCGTTCTCAATTCCAACCGGTTAAAACTCAACTTCGAATCTCACCCCAGTTCCAACAAATGCTCTAAATCTAAAACCGGCGAAATCGTTGTTCCGAACTGGAAATCTTACCCTCCTGACCAGCGCTTGATCCGGCTTACGCTCGTCCCTCCAGACCTCCCACCTGTATAACCTTCCGCTCATACAGATGGATCCGTACGCGTAGCTCAAGGTAGCAGGATTATTTAATCAGCACTATCGATCTGCTGCCTGCTGGTCTCCTCCGACATACGGAAGAAACGATATTCCCGGGCGGTCCCATTTGCTAGTCTGGTCTGTCTTTCACGGTCTAATCCACCAGTCTACAGGCAACGAAGAGAGAGTGACACGGCGTCAACAGAAGCCGAGCTACTCAGAAGATGGAAGGAGGCACGGGACCAGGGATTCCCTCAAGCACCGGTCGGTACATCCCGCCAAGCCGCAAAACTCCAGGACAGCAGCAAGAAGGAATGGGTAGAGGTGCAGCCTCGAATGCAGCAAGAAGCTCGGCGCCACCAGTACAGTCAAGATCACAACAGGGAGCGGAGGATCGGGTTCGAGAGTCAGTCAGCAGATGCTACGACGAAGGCATCTGCCCGAATGGACTGGGACTGGGGGAGGTCGTTGAAGATGAAGAGGGAAGAAGGTTTGTAGTGGATGAAACTATGGACAGTATTAAGGAGAATTGGTTGAAGGAAAGAACAGTAATCCTGATCTTTCAAGAAGAAGCAAGAAACCTCTCAAGACAGGTCAAGGAGGATCTGATCAGAGCCTACGAAGATGGGTGGATGTCACAACAGATATTTGATCTTGACACGAGAAGAGGCAGAATTCGTTTCGAAGGCCAGAATGTTGTTTCATACGTGGCCAAGGCAAAGGAAGTTGCAGACTGGATGCTAAGATCGAAGGAGGCAAAACTAAAACTGGGAAATAAAGAGTACCTTACAATATTCAAGCCTTGGATGCCACGTCAGGAGCTTCGGGACACGAAACTGCAAGATGCGGAAAAGAACTTCTGGATTGTAGCCTTGAGAGTACAGGTAGATGCTTACTACTACTTAGGCGAAGCAGTCGGAGGGATGTTCGGGGAAGTGCTGGAGATGCACCCCCCCGAATACGATAGAACGCGACCGAAGCTGATGAATGTCAAGATGGACATGCACCCAGATGCAAGATTCAACGTTGACGACGTCCTGGTGATTGAATCCCCTAAAGGTGAAAGATGGAGAGTCGAGATAGCTACTCCATTCACAGATTGGTGCAGGAAATGCAAGTGGTATTTCCACACAGAGGAAAATTGTCCACGGTCGCAACAAAATGATGAAGGGAGAAGGGAAGGAGGTGCTCGGGCAGGTGGACACAAGGAACGCTTCCTTCAGCACACGCTGAACAGGGTCCCTCGAACAAGGCGGGAGGAGGGGTCAGATAATACACGAGGCCACAGGCAGGACAGGGAGGCAGGGGCCAATGAGAGAGACAGATCAGTCAGGAGTGAAGGACAGTGGGCTCAACAGTCCGCCCCGGTGAGGCGTACCTACAGCCACCCAAGCCGAAACTCAAGTCATCAGGGTGGTCACACAGCTCCTACACACGCAGACAGAGGGCAGGAGGCAAGAGTGGCCCCAGAATTTCGAGGAGGAATGCAGCCTTCACATCCATCCCTCTTGCCCACATGGGAACAGCGGGGAACCTGGCCGATATCCTCGATCCCAGAGAACTTTGTTCCCCCAAGGGACGAGAGGGAGCTGGATTGGAGAATGCAAGACACTGGACGAGGGTGCTATGGCAGATACGATGGAACATACACAGAGCCTGCAGGACACAGCGGCCTTTTGGGATACACGCAAGACTATCCAGGGTATGATCAATGGATCAACACAGGTCCACCAGTGAACTACCATCAGCATGAGCTACAGATCCAAGCGTACAGCACCTTCCCCGACTATCCTAAGCCGCGGTACCCATCCAGTTCATACCACTGGAGGGAGCTAGCTCAACACCAAGTGCAGCAAGGAACAGGCATGCTGGAACAGGCCGGGCAGAACGCGATGGGAGAAACAGGTTGCTCTTTGGGTGGAGACCGTCAGCACGGGCTAATGAAACAAAGGAGGAGGAATGGAAAGACTTGGCGAACGTGGGTGGAGGAGGAAACGAGGAGACAGGATGTTATCACCAGATCCGAGGCAGATAGGTTGAGTAACCAAGATAGAGTAGCGAGAAGGTGGGGGGATGAATGTGATGGACGGCATGGGAGGGATGATCCACCATCAGCGGCGCCGGGGATCGATATTCAGGGGGAGCTCTCAAGAACTTCTATCTCTTCTTAGTCCCATGTCCGGATGGAGAGCGAGAAGGAAGAAGAGCCACCGAGCAGGGAACTCTCCTCCTCCTCAATGGAGAGATCGGCGCACTCCAGACTGCAGCAGAGAGAAGAGAGGGGTGCAGCCCTGAGACAGCAGGTCGACCGCAACAAGAGGTCGAATCTGATACACAGGGACCAAGCAGAAACGGTTAGGCGGAGGATTGTTCCGTTAGTATGTACGCAAGCAAGAGATGGCACCAACTTTCTAGCGCTATCGAGCGCTGATGGGAGACCTTACATCCCATCGGAGGAGGTGGAGAGAGCACCAACCCACAATGTGATACTGCAGAAAACAAGAAGTCTATACGGGGAACACATTCCGATCAGAGTAATACCCAAGTCTTCAATGATAAATATTATTTGTGAAACTTCTCAAGGGTATTACAAGTTCTATTTCCCCTTATTGGATGCACGGATCCCCCCGGAATCGGCTGACTCGCTGACCCGGTCCGGGGTCCGCTGGTACCACATGGACGCAGTAAGGGAACGGAACACTCCGAAACTCGAGCAAATCACAGTTTTTCACGAAATCAGTGCCTTAATCCTGCTCAACCTCTGCGAGAAGTTGTCGGCGGATGAAGGACTGCAATCGGCATTCATGTACTCCATGCTGACAAAGGACAGGCCCACGAGATCACAGGCGACCTCTTCCCGTGGCAGCTCAAGAGGTAGCATACAGTCCCGGTCCATGCCACAAGCAGTGACGCCAGAAAGGTCTGCAAATCCGGACAACCAGCAAGTCGAACAAGCCGACCCCAACCGCATCCAACAGCAAGCGGCCATACAGCAAACTAATGGATAGACTCAAGATGGCCTCTTGGAACCTCCAGGGCTTGGGAGACACAAGTGGGAGACGGTTGAAAAGCTGGGTACACGAATGGAGGATCAACTGTCTACTTATTCAAGAATCAAAGTTGGACGAAGAGAAACTACTCGAGCTGGGGAACTGGTGGGATGGGCCTCAAGTTTGGGCCCCCGCGCAGGGAACCAGGGGGGGAGTGGGAATACTAATCCATAGAGATCTGCAGATGAAGGTGATTGACTCAGAATCTGATATCTGGGGTAGATGGGCCTGGATCAGATTGGAGTCAGGGGGAGAAGAGTGGGCAATCATGACGGTCTACGCGCCTACAGAGGCAGGGGAGCGCGCGAGGTTCTTCGCCAGCCTTGTCTCTCACATTCCAAAGATAGACAACCTGATTATAGCAGGGGACTGGAATCTGTCCTTCCACGAAGCCTTGAAGCCAGACTCAGCAACTGCAGGCAGGAAAGATGTGCAGACACTCCTGGAGCTAGCATCAGAACTCGAGATGGCGGACCCATTCAGGATCCTGAATCCCGGGAACCCAGGCTACACCTGGATGTCCCACGTGCATCGCAGAGGGGGGACGGTGTCCAGGCGAAGACTGGACTACTACCTAACCACAGAATCAGTCCTAAGTGGCGTCACGGCAGTGCAGGAGGTCTGCAACCCGCTGTCGGATCACAAACCTGTGATCGCAGACATCAAGTTAAGTGTAAGCTCAGAGTGGGGAAAGGGTTTCTTCAGGCTTAACGCACAGAACCTGGAGGACCCAGGTCTGGTGGAATGGGTAGATCAGCACATGAAAGAATGGGATGGAGCCAAGGACCTCTTCCAATCTGCAGAGGACTGGTTGGATGGGGGCATCGCTATTGTATCCAGCACGCTGAGTGTTTGCTCAAAAATTCTAGCAAAGATAAGGAATCGGAAGGAAGCGGAGTGTAAGAAAAGAGTAGAAGAGGCAGAAGAAAGGATGGAGGGGCATCCTATTTCGGCCTTGGTATGGGCAACAGAGAGGGGGAAGAGGATGGCAGAATGGGAAGACCTGCAATCAGAGAAGGAGCGAACATGGTCCGACCTGCTGAAGGAGAAAGGTATTGAAGTCAACGACAAGATGAACAAGGAAACTTTCCAAAAGTTGCTACCTCGACGCTCAAGGCAGCAAATGGTGGAACTTAGGCATCCCTTTGATGAAACAGCGCCTACGGCTTCCACGGCGACAGGGATGCTCGACTACGCTAGACTGTACTACGAGGATATCCTCACCACCCGCCGGCCGCAAGACAACATACACACCGACCTGACGGAGGTCTCGAGCTTGTGGGAGGACACGCAGGGGAGACTCCCACTTTCAGCAAAGCTAGATCTGGAYAGACCTCTTAYCTTCGAGGAGACCACCCAAACATTGAAGTCCATGGCGAAAGGCAAGGCGCCCGGTATCGATGGGYTGACGGTGGAGTTCTACTCCAAATGCTGGGGTGCGGTAGGACCACCACTGGTGGAACTCTACAACGAGGTGCTGATGGGAGGCAGGCTGGGTARGAAGATGRCMCACGGTGTTATCTCGGTACTCTTCAAGAAGGGGGACAAAGCGGAGGTGAGGAACTGGCGCCCGATCTCCTTACTCAATGTCTCGTACAAAATCTTGGCCAAGACATTAGCAAGGAGATTAGGGAGGTACCTACCTGGGCTGGTGGAGAAAGACCAAGGTGCTTTCGTTCAAGGGCGCTCCATCTTCAACAACATCGCAACCGCCATCGAGGTCCTGGAGGTGGTACAATCTGAGAACTTGGATACAGCGGTATTGCTGCTGGACTTGGAAAAGGCCTATGACAAGGTGGGATGGACGTTCGTCATGACCACACTAAAGCACATGGGGTTTGGCGGTGGTTTTTGCAAGTGGGTTATAGCTCTGTACACTCTCTCCACCTCGGCAGTAATGGTGAATGGTCTGCTGTCAGCCCCCTTTAAACTGACAAGGTCCCTGCATCAAGGCTGTCCTCTCGCTCCTCTACTTTTCGTGCTCCAAATGGAAGTAATCCTCAACCGCATCAGAAAACACCCGTTGATCAAGGGCATCAGCCTCAATGACTCAATGGAGTGCAGAGTCAAGGCCCTAGCCGATGATCTGTTTGCAGTATGCCAGAACACGGCACCAGCTCTTTCAGCCCTGAAGTCAGTCATGCAGGAGTACGCGTGCTTGTCAGAAGCCTCAGTAAACTGGTCCAAATCTTCCTACTTTCAAGTTTAAGTTAAACGTAGAATGGGGAATGAGGAGGACCGAGGAGGGTGAGGAAGAGAGATTCCTCGGAGTCTTGGTTAGTCTGCAAGTGGAAGCATCATCGCAGGGACTACTTCTCCAAAGTAGAATCGCAGCCAGACTGAAGTTATGGGGTTCTGCGTGGCATTTATCCTTGATAGGTCGGGCACTAGTGGCGAATGTGGCCCTTTTCTAAATCCTCTGGTTTGCTTGTGCAGTTCGTGAAATTGCAGCAGGGGTCATCTCGACGATACGCCGTTTAGTGGCTCATTTCCTCTGGAAGCCAAGTGCTAAGAAGGAAGAGGGTTTTGTAACCAAGGTGGCATGGGAGCTGCTCACCTTCCCACGAGCGCAGGGAGGGCTGGGTCTCTGGGACCCAGCACGGAAGAACCAGGCTCAGCTGAGAACCTGGCTGGTTAAAGTGGCGACAGCAGAGACTAAGGAAGACTGGATCCTCCTGGCAGAGAGGCTGTTGATGAGAGAATGGGGGCTCAGCAGACCCGGGGACGTCTGGGTCTGTTTTTTATGGAATCCTTCAAGAAAAAGAGACCGAAGTCGCTGTTCTGGAAATCGATCCTGAGAGCCTGGAGAAGCCTGCCCCCTGACACGCCAACCCCCCCGCGCACGAAAGAAGAAGTGTTGGCCCAACCGCTGTTCGAGAACCACGCCATCTGCAATCCGGGAGGGCAAAGCTTCCCTGCGAATGGTTCAGTGGCCACTTTCGGACTTGCCTGGTTGAAAAAAGGGGTGTCAAGGATAAGGGACCTGTGGTCCTCTTTGTTAGGCAGCTGGGAACCGCTGTCGGAAATGAAAACCCGGCTGCAAGGACTCAGGCGTGTAGAGGAAAACTGGCTCGCATTGCTCGAGGCCATACCGCAAGACTGGAAAGACATCCTGGGCCCGGAAGGGGTGGACCCAATAGGCACGTGGTATGTGGCGGAGGACCGGGAAAGGGGGGGTACCGTTTGGAAGATTACTGAGATCCTGCCCAGTGGGTTCCGGATGGTGGAAAGCTGGCAATGTGAGGGGGAAGGGAACAGGCTGAGTCTTGTGGGGAACGAGGTAATCCAATGTTGGAGGAACCCCCCACAGGCCCGGATTGTAGAACGCCATGAACCAGGCAGTCAGGTGGAGTCGCTAGTCTGGATTGGCCGCTCCCCGCTCAGGCAACTGCGCATTGACCCCCTAGCATGGAGTTGGAGCAGGCAAAATTCAAATGGCGCAACAGCTGGCCCGCTGTTCATGTCCAAGTACACTACAAGAGAAGGATATGTACTTGCGAACAAAGCTGTCAGATCCCCAGCATCTGTGGCAGTATCAAGATGGTCCAAGGTGTTGGGGGAAACTGCTGCACCAACAGAGCCCAACTTTGAAAGGCTGTGGAAGGAGTTGGAACTCCTTCCGAACGGTAAGCAAATGAGCATTCTCTGGCTGTTGTCTCTTCTGGTAACCCCTTCCGCAGTTTGGCTGCAGAGCAGAGGGGTATTGGTTGAACTAGGATGCTCAAGATGCAGGTGGCCGTTTGAGTCCACTCGACACCTGTGGTGGGAATGCCCCGCATCCAAACGAGTGTGGGAATGGTGGGAACATCACTGGAAAGAGTTGGGGGGGGCGCAGTTGAGGTTGGATGAGCGCTGGGTCCTGCTGGGTTTTCTGCCCACAAACCTGAATGGAAAGAGAAGTTGGGGCTACATCGCCCAAGTGACAAGGGGCATCATCTGTGAGTGTATCTGGGCAGATAGAAACAGGGCGAGATTTGAGAAACGCCCCTTCTCGGATGCTGAGATCAAGAGCAGAATCAAGGACGGCCTCAAACACGCCATCAGGGCAGATTGGCGAAGGAAAACCCGGGCATGGAAAGGTAGCAGGAAACAGAGAACCTGGTTCCTCCGTACCTGGGCGCGAGATAACCGGTTGGCTGCAGTTCACTCAGTTCGAGGGTTAGTAGTTTCAAAATGGATCATGGAGTAGGAGGCTAGTGAGCTAGAGGGGCAAGTCCTCTGCTGTGGTAGAGAACCTCTGAGTGATCAGGGCACTCGGTCCCACAGAGGTGCTGTAGGTTAGGCAGAGTGGCCACCCACGAACCAGGACACTCGGTTCAGTAGGGCCGCGGTGGGCTGCTTAGGTGAGTGTCATTAGGAACCGGAAGTCTTCCTCTGGGCCGTGTTAGTCCCAGACCATTATTTAGGAGTAGCTAGACTTTACGGTTAATAGATAGCAATGTTCTGTTAGGCATGGGGAGTAAAACAGGTGCAGAAATAGGGAGCTAAATCCTAGTAGAACGCGTGAGCAAATTGAACGTTATCCAAAGTCAAGTGAAATTGTGCTGATGATTAGTTTCTGTAACATGGAATTCCAGTAGTTCTGGGTTCCGCAGGCAAAGCCTGTAAGCTAAGCTGGCTGATGCTGTCAGATACCCCGGGTTGAATTGTGAGGTCCCCGGCCTCGATTCTGTCATTATAATGAATGGGATACGTTAAAGTTAAAAATATATATATATATATATATATAATGAGCATCTTCCCCTAACATATTGCATAGGCTGTTTTTTTTTTTTTTTTTTCGCATAGGCATTATGAATGTATGGAGCAGACTACGGTAGTCTTCAGGTGAGTTGAGTTACCATGCTCATTCCTTCATTTGCTGGGGAAGACGATGCGGAGTAACCATCTTCAACCGAATACAGCACACGGTCATCATAGCTGTATCTAGACTGAAAGTTCCCCAAATACAGCTATAATGACTGTGTGCTCTATTCGGGGGAAGGTGGTGATAGTTTTGTGAAATGCCAACAAGCGAGTAGGTTGGCTGCGTTCAGAGTTGTTACTGCGGTAAACTGCATAGTCAGACTGCACTTGCAACTGTTACCGCAGTTAACTGCATAATCAGGCTGCGTTTGCAATTGTTACTGCAGTTGACTGCATGGTCAGACCGTGTTCGCAGTTGTTACTGTGGTTAACTGGACAGTCAGACTGCATTCACGGTTGCCACTGCAGTTAACTGCATAGTAAGGGTTCTTTTGCAGTTTTTACTGCAGTTAACTGCATAGTCAGACTGTGTTTGCAGTTGTTAGTGCCGTTAACTGCATACTCAGACTGTGTTCGCAATTGTTACCGCAGTTAACTGCATAGTCGGATGGCGTTCGCAGTTGTTACTGCGGTTAGGTGCATAGTCAGTCAGTTGTTACTGCGGTTAACTGCATAATCACACTTGAACGCAGTTGTTACTGCAGTTAACTGCATAGTCATGCTGCGTTTGCAGCTGTAACTGCAGTTCACAGCATAGTCAGTCTGCATTGGAAGTTCTTACCGCAGTTAACTGCGTAGTCAGACAGCGTTTGCTGTTGTCACTGCGGTTAACTGTACAGTGTATACTACTCGGACTGCATTGGGGTCATTACTGCAGTTAAGTGCATAACCAGTGATTTGTTACTGCCATTTTTTATTGCATAGTCAGACTGCGATTGTAGTTGTTACCATTGTTAACGTCATAGTGCGACTGCATTTGCAGTTGTTCCTGCTGCTAGCTGCTTAGTCCGTCAGTCAGTTGTTACTGCGGTTAACTGCGTAGTCCGACTGCTTTCACTGTTGTTGCTTTAGTTAACTAATTGCATAGTCAGACTGCGTTTGCAGTTGACTGCATAGTTAGAGTGCATTCACAGCTCTTACTGTAACGAACTGCATAGCCAGTCAGTTGTTACCGCAGTTAACTGCATTCCTGTGTTGTAATCGAAGCTCTCTCTCTGCATCGTACCTGTAGGGTGCACAATGGGTACTGCAGGTAAGTGTGTGGTACTTATCGGAGTTACCACAGTTGAGAGTGAAGACAAGTGTACTGCAGCTGATAGTTCAACTGCAGGTACTATGTGTCCACACTCTTAACTGCGGTAATTCCGACAAGTACTACATTGTTACCTGCAGTGAGTTCAAGTGAACATTGTGTACTGTCCTGGTACCATGCAGAGAACTAACAGAGAATGCTGTTTACTGCAGAAATAATTCCTATACTTTGGAGTTGCCACTGCAGTTACCTGCACTGTACTCTGTGATTAGCATAATACCTGCATAGTACCTGCACGGTACCTGCATAGTACCTGCATGGTACCTGCATAGTACCTGCAAAGTACCTGCATAGTCCTTACCATGCATAGTACCTGCATACTACCTGCATGGTACCTGCATAGTACCTGCATAGTCCTTACCTGCATGGTACGTGCATAGTACCTGCATAGTACCTGCATAGTACCTGCATAGTACCTGCATAGTACCTGCATAGTACCTGCATAACACCTGGATGGTACTCATTGCCGTAAGGATTATGCAGTTAGCGATCATATAGCTAATGTCATCAGTATGCAGTGAGGACTATTTAGCTAACTGCATAGTAGCTGCTGGTGTAATATGGTAGCTAACTGCATAGTACTTGTGCCTGTTACCCCAGTTAAGCGCGTACACATCTGTTACTGCAGTTAAGAGCTTGCATATGCAAGGAAAATGAGCGATAGCGAATTCCAGAAACCAACCAGCATCATACACATGAAACCAGATGGTCCTGACCTCGAACCAAAAGCAGAATTGCAACTTGAGTTCCACCAAATAAGAGCACAGCAAAAGTTCATAAGTGACAATGCTGGAATAGTCTCATCATCATCAACAATGAACGAATGTCGAATTCCTAACTGGCGCTCAGCGCCCAGACTATGTATGGCAGATCCTATCTGGCCTATCTACAATGCTGCTGGTGACGTCAACAGCTTCCCGAAGTACGAGCAGATCTCGGCCAATGCTGTTCGCCTCAAGCACCAGGTATGTCTCACGCTTTACTCACAACCTCGATCCCCCACGCAGATGCCACGTGCACCCAAGGACCACCATGCGCCCCATCCAGCATCTCGCAGGCCAGCTCGGCTATGGCTGCCTGCGTGTGCCCTGCTCGCCCGTGAGTGCATGGGTGCTTGCCTGCCGATAGCGCAGCAGCGCTTGCGCAGCATGTAGCAAGTGCCCGGATGCCAAATGCAGAGGCAGGCACTTTCCTTTATGGAAGTGGCCTGCCTGCTCCGTGCTGCCTGGCTGCGCTGGGCCCCTGCCCAGAAGCTTCCGGTAGGCCCCAAGTGGCTGAGCCCCTGTCCCAGGGAATCTTCCACAGGGCCTGGGGTGGTTACGCGTGTCCAACTGCCAGCGGCCTGTGTTCGGCTTATGCCCCGTGTCTGGCCCAGGGCCTGCCTCGATACATTTGGAGAAAGGCAGGCAGAGCCTGGACTTACTCAACCAAACTGCCTGAATTTCCCAGCTGCGTCAATACCCAAAAATAGCCCTCTCGTCACTTATCAGGCCCGCCTTCACTTAGGGCGGCTGTGCTTGCTGAGACAGGGCCCAGACGAGGCCTTGAGCCTCGCACATAGCTTTGACTGCAGTGAAGTCAATCAGACCTATAGTACTGTTACTAAATTAACTCCGCAGTCATGAGCTCCAATTGCAGTTAGCTACCATATAACTGCTGTAAGTACTATGGACTCGGAGTTAGTACTGTGTAGTTAACTGGACTTGGACAGTAATCAGATTCAGTGGCAGTTAAAAAGTGCTATGGATATAGTTGACGTATGTACTATACTATGCAGTTAGTACTATGTAGCTAACTGCCTAGCAATCAGCTCCAACTGCACTGTTACCGAGCTGTTAGTAATGTTACTGGGTTAACTGCACAGTGATTCGCTCGAACTGCAGTTGACTGCTGTTAGTAGTGTTACTGAGTTCACTGCACAGTGATGAGCTCGAACTGCGGTTAAGTACTATGCAGTAACTTACCGTATAGCTGGCATAAGCACTATGCAGTTACTGCTACATGCAGTTAGTACTACTGCTACGTACCTAACTGCATAGTAATCAGCTTTAACTGCAGTTACAGCATTGTGCACTGTTATTGACTGGGTTAGTAACTTAGTACTGTTACTGAGTTAATTGCACAGTAATCAGCTCCAATTGTAGTTAAGTACTACACAGATAGTGAGCATATAGCTGGCGTAAGTACTATACTATGCAGTTAGTACTATGTAGCTAACTGCATAGTAATCAGCTCCAACTGCAGCTACGGCGTTGTGCACAGTTATTGAGTTGTCAGTACTGTTACTGAGTTAACTGCACAGTAATGAGCTCGAACTGCGGTTAAGCACTATGCAGTTGGCTACCATATAGCTGGTGTAAGTACTATGTAGTTACTATAGCTAAAAGGTACAATGCAGTTACTATTGTGTACCTAACTGCATAGTAATCAGCTCCAGCTGCATTCAAGTACTCTGCAGTTGGCTACCATACAGCTGGCGTAAATACAGCACCACTGCAGCTACAGCACTGTGCACAGCTATCGAGTTGTTAGTACTGTTACTGAGTTAACTGCACAGTAATGAGCTCGAACTGCGGTTAAGTACTATGCAGTTAGCTACCATATAGCTGGTGTGAGTACTATGTACTTAGTATAGCTGAAGTACCATGCTGTTACTATTGTGCACGTAGCTGCATAGTAATCAGCTCCAGCTGCAGTTATATGTTCACTGTTATTGCGTCGTTAACTTGTTAGTACTGTTACTGAGTTAATTGCACAGTAATCAGCTCCAACCGTAGTTAAGTACTATGCAGACAGCGAGCATATAGCTGGCGTAGCTAACCGCATAGTAATCAGCTCCAACTGCAGTTAAGGGATCATCCCAGCGAGTCTGCACTTAAAGGAGTCACAGTTAGCACTGTTTTGGAGCCTTTTTTATTTTTATTTATTTTTATTTTTTTTAATTTTAACAGAACCATCTGGTTCTGGCTCCTTTTCCATTCTGGAGAGCATCAGTCCGGTTCCTATTTCACCGGTTTTGGAGCCTTGTTTCGTTTGCTCGGCTTTCTATCGGGGGTGGGCCTGAGGTACATCAGCTCGTGGCTGGTTCCAGGTAAAAATTCATTACTATTATTCATATTGTATTTTGTAACGGCACTGTTATCGAGTTGTTAGTACTGTTATTCAGTTAACTGCACAGTAAAAAATCAGCTCACACTGCAGTTAAGCACTATGCAGTTACCTACCATATAGCTGGCGTTACTAGTAGGGCAGCTAACTGCATAGTACTGAGCTCCCACGGCAGTCATCGCATTAGTTTTACTGCTGCTAACTGTTCCCCTAGCTGCTATAGCAGTTAACTTTATAGCACTTAGCTCTTGCACTGGTTAATTAACAGTACTTACCTGTTACTTACCTGTGCAATAACCCATGCCATATGTCTCGTAGAAGCTGAGTGTCATCTGAGGGCCTACTTGGCCACCCTCTCAGCCCAGGCCAAAACGGCGGAAAAAGACCCCACAGGGCCCACACTAATTCAGGGTCTGGGTGTGTGACAGTTAACTTTAGTCAGCTGTCAGTCCACCCAACAGTCAAAGTCCAAAGGTACCTAGCCCAGGCCGCTGGTCAAGCACACACACTTGTTTGTATGCAGGTACCCAGACAGCATCAGGTCCAAGGGAGAAGTCTGCAACTGTACAATTTGGGCCTTCAGATGTGAGCCAATCTGGACGACTGTGGGAAAAGCACCGAGGCTAGACAGCCTCAACAACTGCTACTTAAGGATGGCCTCGAGTGAGTCAAGCATTCAGTCTTGCTATGCTGCTTTGGCGCTGGCTCGACTTCGATTAGACGCCGGCTTCATGCTGGCGCGACGCTGGCTACACGCTGGCTGTGTGCAGGCGTTGTGGATGACGACACGAGGTGGAGGCAGCATGCTGGCGCTTCTGCATTATGCGCCAGACTTGCTGAGGATTGCATGCTGATGTGGCGCTACCTCTGGTCTACATTACTAAGGATGTTTGACGACTTCTGAGTATCTGCTAGACTGGGTTCATTACACCTGTTACTTACGTGTTACTTACCTGTTACTTAGCTGTTACTTAGCTGTTACTGAGCTGCTACTGAGCTGTTACGGCAGTTGACTGCTGCATAGTACTTAGCTGCAAAGCCGCCAGAGAAGTTAACTTCAAAGTTCAAACTACTGAGGCAAAAGAGAGGTTAACTACACCCTTAGCCGCATAGCCATTTTAAATAGATTTACAGCAGTTAAAAGTGCAAACAAGTTAGGTATAAGAGGGAGGTTAACTGCACACGTAGCTGCATAGCCATTAGAGCGATTAGCTGCATAGTACTTGGCTGTTACAGCGGTTAGCTGCTGCATAGTAGTACTTATTTGCAAAGTCGTTACTGTAGTTAACAGTATA